GGGAGTTGTTTAGACTTTAGGGTGCCATAGTGAAGAAACCATTACCTAGTCTAAGGACGTGAAAAGCTATACCTGTTTTATCTAAGAGTTTTATAGTTTTAGCTCTCTCTCTTTTTTTTTTTTTTTAAGATTTTATTTATTTATTTGACAGGCAGAGATCCCAAGTAGGCAGAGAGGCAGGCAGAGAGAGAGAGAGGGAAGCAGGCTCCCTACTGAGGAGAGAGCCCGATGTGGGGCTCGATCCCAGGGCCCTGAGATCATGACCTGAGCTGAAGGCAGAGGCTTAACCCACTGAACCACCCAGGTGCCCCTCTCTCTTTTTTTTTTAAGAGAGAGAGTGTGTGCACGAGCACAGGAGGAGGGGCAGAGAGAGAGGGAGAGAGACTGCTGGACTTGATTTTACAACCCTGAGATCATGACCTGAACCTAAATCAAGAGTCAGTCGCTTAACTGTTTGAGCCACCCAGGCGCCCCAGCTTTAGCTCTTAAATTTAGGACTTTGATTCATTTTGCATTAATTTTTGTACATGGTGTGAGGGTGAAACTTCATTCTTTGCATTGGTTATCCACCTGTTCTCAGCACCATTTGTAGAATTTCATTCCTCCGGTGAATTGTTTTGACACCCTTGTCCAAAATCAATTAACCATAAAGGTATGGGCTTATTTCTGGAATCTTCACGTATATGTCTATCCTTACGCCAATACCACATAATCTTGATTATTGTAGCTTTAAAATCTGAAAGTATGAATCCTCTTAAATTTGTTCTCTTTCAAAACAATTTTGGCTATTCTGGGTCACTTACATGTCCATATGAATTTTAGGGTTTATTAATTTTTATGAAAAGGCAGTGGGAATTTTGATAGAAGTTGCACTGGATCTGTAGATAAATTTGGAGAGAATTGCTGTGTTAACCATAGTAAGTCATTCAATCTGTGAACATAGTTTCTCCATTTATTTAGGTCTTTAATTTCCTTTAACAGTGTTTATAGTTTTTAGTATACAAGATTTGTCCTTTGTTAAATATTTTTCTAAGTATTTTTTTTCTTTTGGTGCCATTGTAAATGAAATTGCTTTTTTAATTTCAGTTTTGGATTATTCATTGCTAATGATGGACATATAACTGATTTTTCTTTATTATTTGCCTCTAAACTGCCAAACTGTTTCTCTTCATTCAGGTAGTTTCCTGAAATCTCCATTGTCATAAAAATCCTTCTAGTTTTATTCAACTTCCTTATTCCTCTTTTGAAGATTTTTTTTTCTTACTAGACAAATGAGTTGCATCAATACTGAGCTATTTTCGATCCAATAATTTGGTTCAAACATTTGGGTACTTGTTAAAAGCATCTGCAGACAAATGTTTAACTGCCTGCTTTTTTGTACCGTCTGTGCCAGCTAACATCATCATGGGCAACATAGGGAAGCTTGGGAATAACCTGTGGAGGACTCTCCTCCTGTCTGCTTTCCCCTCCATCCCCCACAACTAATATGTAAGAATGAGAATTCTGAACTATTGTGAAAAACACCCAGTTTCAGTTAAGTAACTAGAATCAGTAATGGCTGCTCCTTCCCTGCATTCTGTCCCTTACTGTGCAGGTACCTAAATCCTTCATCACCAGCTCTGGTCTTGTACATGTCACATGCCCGTTCTATAAAGCTTTGCCTGAGTCCCTGATTGTCATCTACTACTGAAAAGACTGATCTCCCATATCCCAGTGCCTTCTTGCTAATAAAGTGTGGTGAAATTACCCCAGCTGTAGAGGAAGTACAGTAAAAAAATTGGTATCATTTCCTATCATTGTATAAAGTATGTATAGAGTATGGGACTTCTACTTTAATAACTTTAGGAAGGTAGCAAATTTGAAGTTCCATCAAGCTTGGTAAAATGGTTTTAAAAAATTATAGATTTTTAAAAATGGTACATGTACCATGTACCAAATTTCTGATGATGATAATTCTATTAAGTCTTTTAATTTTTTCATTGTCTAATTGCCAGTTTTGCCACTGTGGTCATTTCATGTTTTTAGGATGTTAATGGTATGGGAGTTGTTCCTATTCAGAAGCCAGTGTTAATTTATGAAAATATATAAATGGAATTTAACGCTAGTAAATTTTGAAGGTGAGTTTTAGGTGCTGTTTGGTGATTTCTGTCTTTGGCTCGGTTGCACGTCAGAGATTCTAGTCCTTTTCACCCTGTACCAAGAGGTTGTGTAAGAGACTAAGATTTGCTACGATTATTTGTAGAGCTTGTTGGAGTTTTAGTTCCGTAGGGTATGCATTAGAATTCAGTTAGTTGTGTTTTACAGGACAACAATTTATCAAATACTCATTAAGTAAGGAGTATAATTTTGCGGGTGCTAATAGAGCTAATGCACCAGTAATTTTATTGATCTTCACTGGTGAAATGTCTATGGAAGTATCTGGCCGTTTTAGTGTTGGGTTTCTTTTTGAGTAGTTGATTAAAAAGAGTGTTTGAAGAACTTTAAGTCACTTTAGTCTAAGTGAGTCTTTTTTTTTTTTTTTAAGATTTTATTTATTTATTTGACAGAGAGATCACAAGTAGGCAGAGAGGCAGGCAGAGGGAGAGGGGGGAAGCAGGCTCCCTGCTGAGCAGAGAGCCTGATGTGGGGCTCAATCCCAGGACCCTGAAACTAGAACCCGAGCTGAAGGCAGAGGCTTAACCCACTGAGCCACCCAGGGGCCCCTAAGTGAGCCTTTCTAAGTCAGTTTTTCAGGTTCATTTTCAATCGAGAGTTTTAAGAATTTGAAAGTATTGTAGAAAAGATCTGATACTTAATCCCATTCATTGCCCTTACACAGTTCAAAAACACTGCATAATTAGAAAATTATATATGTGATAAAATCTCATTTGTGGTTCTGGGTCCATAAATGAGAATTTACAAGAATAGTGAGAAGCAGAAATATACGTGTGTGTGTGTGTGTGTGTGTGTGTGTGTGTGTGTGTGTGTTGTTGCCCATCAGTGCCCCAAAAGTAAGGCCTCTGAGTCCTAAACTTAAGCTCTTCCTACCCCTTCGACTAGTCTTACCATCTGAGTCCCCTCCACTGCACCCAGCCTGGCCAGGTAAGGCTGCAGAGGGAGGATCTGTGAGCCCCTAGAGGTATTATATTAAGAAAGTTTTGTGTCTAAAATTACTTAGAATTATATTTGTAAATGATACTTGTTCATATTTTTCTTTACTTTAAAAATTTTTTTTTTTATTTTTAAAGATTTTATTTATTTATTTGAGGGAGAGAGAGAGAGAGCATAATACGGGAGAAGGTCAGAGAGAGAAGGAGACTCCCCATGGAGCCTGATGCGAGACTCGATCCTGGGACTCCAGGATCATGACCTGAGCCGAAGGCAGTTGCCCAACCAACTGAGGAGCCCTCATATTTTTCTTTAAAAAGATTATTAAATGCAGTATTTTGTTTTTTTTTTAAACTTTCATGAAATGTTGTTGTCTCCTGTCCCTTGCTTCCAACCCTGCTTCTCAAGGGCAAATACTTTGAATTGTTTCTTCTCTAATAACTTACGCTCACTGCTTGTCTCTAGCATCTCAAATAGTGCCTGTTTGGGCACCTAATAAATCTTGGTTGAATGAATGAAAGATTATTCTTACTCTGTTTCCAGACTTGATAAATAGTTTACAATTTACAAGTACAATTCTAGGTTGATTATCATTTTTCCTCTTGAATAACATTTCTCCACCATCTTAGGATAGAATAGTGTTGCTATTCATATAGAATTCCACTCTGATTCTAGATCTTTGCATGTGACCTATGTTTTCTTTCTGTAAACTTCTGTGATCTCATGTTAGCACTTTAAAAATTTAAGTATGGGGCGCTTGGGTGGCTCAGTGGGTTAAAGCCTCTGCCTTCAGCTCAGGTCATGATCCCAGGGTCCTGGGATGGAGCCCCGCATCGGGCTCTCTGCTCAGCGGGGAGCCTGCTTCCACCTCTCTCTCTCTCTCTGCCTGCCTCTCTGCCTACTTGTGATCTCTGTCTGTCAAATAAATAAATAAAATCTTTAAAAAAAAAATTTAAGTATGCTGGAAATTCAGTGTGGACGTGCCTCTCCCTCAGTAAGGGCAAATGTTCTTGAATCATTTCTTTGATAGGTCTTTCCTTACTCCCTCTCCCCACCAAAAGAGATGAAGAAGTGTGTCTTCCCTATTGTTGTCTTTCTGAAACTTTTAGTCTTGGGATGTTGGGCTTCATGAATTATTTTTATTTTATTTTATTTTATTTATTTTAGCTTTCGGTTTTCACTTATTTATCTCTTTGTCTTAGTGTTGAAATTTCTGGGAGATTTCCTTAGCAGTACCTTCTAATCCTTCCATTAGCTTTTGGTGTGTTATCAAATTTTAAAAGTGTTACCCTATTTTTTGTTTTCCAATTATTCTTTTTTACTTTTTATTTATTTACTTTCTGGCTGTTCTCTTTTTTAAATAGAAAAGTCTGGGATTTAGTTAGAGTGTTGTAGATAGACTTTCAACCTTTCCTGATGTCTTTTTCTCTTGCCCTCCCCTCTTTCTCACAATACTTGATGTCTTTGAGGTCTAAGTCACTTCAAGCTTTGTGCTTGCCTTCTCCTTGCATCTGCCTATACGTATATAGATTATCACTTCCCTCTCTTGGCTAAGTTTGCACCTTTTTTTTTTTTTTTTGCATCTGCTTTCCATCCTCTAAAACTTTTTTTTTGGCTGATTCTTCTATCGTCGTTTCCACTTTTATTGTCATTGAAATGTGTGCGCATTTTAATTGCTATTTGGTGTGGTTTTATGGGGGAAGAGGAGATAAATGCATATGTTCCATCTGCCATTTTAAAATTAGAGTTCTTCCTCTTTGTTTGTGGCCCCAATTCATGTCATTTTATGATTGTAATGCAAATGACAAGTTAGATATGTAAATTTAAAATAAAATAATGAAAGTTGGTTTGAAGAACATTTTGAATGAAAGGTTAATCTGTCTTGATGTCCAGAGAGATAATGTGCCCTGTAATAATGCGTTCTTTGAATTTTATTTGTGTAGAAGAAATTGAGGAAGAATCAGAAACCACAATTGAAGCCGACTTGACGGATAAACAGAAGCATCAGCTGAAACATAGGGAGCTCTTCTTGTCACGCCAGTATGAATCTCTGCCTGCAACGCATATCAGGTAAGAGCAGCTTAGAGGCTGATAGGAAGTATTCAGTAATATCGTGGCAATGAGAAAAAAACACAGAACAGCCTTCTTTGAAGCATTTCTATATTTGCCTCATGATCTTGCTCAACTTGGTCTACTAAAGGCATCATAATGGGATTTCATCTAGGAAATGTATAGTGTGATTACCTTATTAAAGCCCTGCAGGTGTTCTATAGTCAAGTGACCATTTTAGCTCTTCTTGAATCCAGACTTTCCCAATCCACATGCATGCCTGTTCGCATCCTGCAGAAGAGTGTCCCGCAACCACCAGGAAATGCTGTTTTTCTCCAGGTTCCTAGAACGTTACAGAGGCGGACATTAGAATCCTAGAACTAAAACACAAGATCTGGTTCCCAGGCGAGTGATTCTTGACCTTGTAGAATATATGGCCTTTTACTTTCTTTGGAGGATCTCTGGGATGAAAACTATATTCCATATTACTTAACTCGTATCTGCTCTGTACTTTTGATGGGAAGCCAAAGTGAAAAAATTCTGTCCCTGGTTTGTAGTTTGGGGGGTTGTGGAGGAACGCTGGTGGCCTTTTATGAAATATGCTGGTGGTAACATTTAAGCATACATATCTTGGAAGTCTAACAAAATGTTTGAACTCAAAAGGTAGGCAGTTACTGACTGTCAAGGTCAGGTCAGCTTCAGAAAGTAGTTGGCATTTATTCAACCTCAGAGAGACAGTGGGGCTAGCCTGGCGGCCTGTGGGTGGAGGCAGCGCGCTGTGTGCTAGGGAGGGCAGTGTCGTTGTCCGCCTCAAGTTACTGCAAGTTTTTCAGCTTTTGTTCATAATCTTTACTTAATTCACCTCTCTACTAGTCATGATTACCTTAAAAATGGTTTATCTAGGGGTGCCTGGGTGGCTAAGTGGGTTAAGCCTCTGCCTTGAGCTCAGGTCATGATCTTGGTCAGGGTACTGGGATCGAGCCCTGCATCTGGGCTCTCTGCTCAGTGGGGAGCCTGCTTCCCCCTCTCTCTCTGCCTGCCTCTCTGCCTACTTGTGATCTCTTCTCTGTCAAATAAATAAATCTTTAAAAAAATGGTTTATCTAGGGAAATACAGTATATTAATTTTATTTCAAAAATTAGCCCCTTGTCTTTCCCCCAGTGTGGGTATTGAATCTGTCTTTTTTGGCCTAAGTCAGGTTTGGAGACTTACTTAAGCTGTGATTTGGTCCTTGTATCACACACACACACACACACACACACACACCCACGCACCCACCCAGTTCCCAGGACTTTTGTGCATATTTCTCTTTTCAGAAATGGATGCAGAGTTTCTAAAGCAGAAAATGTATGACAGGGATACTAGAATTCCTCGTGCTCCAAATCTTTTCAGAAATAATTTGATCTCAGTAGTTAACATGACAGCATTGCTGAAGAAGTTTTTAATTTTTTTTAATTTGAGAACATTTAAAATATTTATTTATTATTTATTTAAATTAAATTTAGTTAATATATAGTATATAATTAGCTTGAGGGGTAGAATTTAGTGATTTATCAGTTGCATACACTACCCATGCTCATTATATCAAGTGTCCTCCTTAATGCCCATCACCCAGTTACTCCATCCCCCTCCACCTCCCCTCCAGCAACCCTCAGTTTGTTCCCTATTGTTAAGAGTCTCTTATGGTTTGCTTCCCTTTCTGTTTTTATCTTATTTTATTTTTCCTTCCTTTCCCCTGTGTTCATCTGTTTTGTTTCTTAAATTCCACATATGAGTGAAATCGTATGATATTTGTCTTTCTCTGACTGACTTATTTCACTTGCGGATACCCTCTAGTTCCAGCCATGTCATTGCAGATGGCAAGATTTCATTCTTTTTGATGGCTGAGTAATATTCCATTGTGTGTGTATACCACATCTTCTTTATCCATTCATCTGTTGATGGACATCTGGGCTCTCTCTATACTTTGGCTATTGTGGACATTGCTGCTATAAGCATTGGGGTACATGTGCCCCTCGAATCACTATGTTTGTATCCTTGGGATAAATACTAATAGTGCAGTTGCTGTTTTCCAGAGTGGCTGCACCAGCTTGCCTTCTCACCCAACAGTGTAAGAGGGTTCCCCTTTCTCTATGTCCTCGCCAACATCTGTTTTACCTGAGTTGTTAATTTTAGCCATTCTGACTGGTGTGAGGTGGTATCTCATTGTGGTTTCAACTCGTATTTCTCTGATGCTGAGTAATATTGAACATTTTCTCATGTGTCTGTTAGCTGTTTTACTTTATTAGGTTTTTTAGGGGACACTGTGTTTAAATTGGCTACAGTTAGTATATTCTGTATGACTTGGGTCCTTTGCTGGAAAAAATAATCATGCCAGGTAATGTAGAAACAGTCATTTTATCTACCAATGGGGTATTTCAAGAAGTAGGAAAGTAAGCTAATTTTTGTTCAAATCGATGGAACATGGAAACATATTTCATAATTTTCTTAAAGATGTAGATAATAGGGGCGCCTGGGTGGCTCAGTGGGTTTAGCCTCTGCCTTCGGCTCGGGTCATGATCCCAGGGTCCTGGGATCGAGTCCCGCATTGGGCTCTCTGCTCAGCAGGGAGCCTGCTTCCCCCTCTCTCTCTGCCTGCCCCTCTGCCTACTTGTGATCTCCATCTGTCAAATAAATAAATAAAATCTTAAAAAAAAAAAAGATGCAGATAATAAATGCTGAAGAGCCATACGCATTTATTACTTAATTGGAAGAAGCTAGAATATAAAGATTCATTTTAAGCTCAAGAAGTAATGTGGCTAGTCATAAGAATCTTGCCAGAACAAGAATCTGACAAATGGTTTTAAAAATGTATCCAAAACATGCAAGTACATTTTTAATTTACCATCCTGATAGTTTAGAATCTGTTTATAAGTAATGTTTCCTTGAACAGATTGCTTGGAATGGAAAAACTAGTATTGTGTTTTTCATCATCCATAAGAACGGAGACAATATATTAAAATATAATTATTAGGACACCTCTGTGTTGAACACAGAAATTGCATAGAGGATAGGATCATTCATTCAGTCACTGTTGAACATGTTTTCTGAGTATATTCTAGATTAAGGCATTTACTAGGTGCTTGATAAATTAAGATGTAAATTTAAGGAGTTTATCGGGTGAATTTACTGGCAATTCTTTTGAATTATGATGCATTATAAACATTTGAGGCTTTTAATTTTTGCTGTTCTATTCTCTAAGTTGAGAGGGAGTAGTACAGAGCCACAATTTGTCCTCTGTGGCTGTCATTGCCAAACAGCTGAACGGGGTGAGGGGCAGTCTCTGGCCAGAGCACGGAGCCGTGCTAGCCAGCCCTCATGCTGATGTAAACACGTGCACATTGGAGTGATCTTCACAGTTTGCTAATGTTGAAGTCATGCCCTGTCTATTTCTGCTGTAACAGGAGAAAATGACTGAAGCCCCATTGTTCTTTGGCAGCAAAGAGGGGTAATTTGGTGAATACTGGCTTTTTATTCTCCAGGGACATTATCAAGTGCCCAGAATTTCCTCAGTGGCATATGGAACGTAGGAGAAAACCTGACTGAGGCATTCCTGAGGTCCTTTGTAGTCTGTGAGCCACAGTACTCACTGGGTGTTGTAAGCATTTCACAGTGGCATGGAGGCACCTCTTTGTTCCTTCTGATCCCACTGGCAGAGAGGGCGAGTCACCAGCACCAGGACAGTTCTGGATGGTTAGGGATTTACTTGGTGTTCGTGAGCTACGGAGGACTTGAGCGATGAAAACATCTTTGGGATGCTTTTGGGGGTGCAGGAAGAGAGGCAGCTCACATCATGCACAGCGCCTGAAGTCATTACTAATAGATGATACGCTGCGAAGTCTCTAAAGCGCTAGAACATTGTTGTGTCATGTGCTGGACCTGTTCTGGATATATAATACTGTCTTCAGTCTTAGGCCATATTTGTCAGCCTTGGCTTTTAACAATTCTGACATTCATTGAACCTTTGTGACAGATGTTATTCCAGTTGCTTTATATGTATTTTATTTACTCCTCGCACTGACTTTACAAAGTAGGTCCTGTTATCCCCATTTTACAGACGAGACTGAAGCACGAAAAGGTTAAGTAACCTGTCAGTTTCATGACTTTTACATAGCAGATTGGGAGGTTGAACCCAGACCACACGGCTGCAGATGGACAGAATTACGACGTGTACATGACCGGTGGTGTTAAACAGCATCAGAGATAAAAGAAAAGCTATTGAGTTACTTGTTGGATGGGTAGGCTCTTTGATATTTTATTTTTTCACATAATTTTCTACTCAGATGTTCAGGTCAACAGGACAGACTACATTAAAAACTAAGTTAAACATATAAGCTGTACTATTATACTAAAAGATGATGCTGCCGTGCTAGATGTACAGTAGCCGCTGGGAACTACCTGCTTGATTGGGTGCCTGAGTTTATGGATATATCTTGTATTTGGTCCAGTGTCAGTTTTTTCCACATTTTGAACACAAAAAGCTTGGCTTTTTAAAAGCTGCTAATTACAGCATTCTGCGTATGGTGATTAATGCCTCTTCCCAGCCTCTGGTGCAGGTAGTTAGTCATTTAAAAAGAGCCAGTTCTTTCCTGTTTGCCAACTTGGGATTCTGGATCACAGCCTTTGAAGTTATGCTTCATTGTGTCTTAAAAGCATTTTCTTAGGTACCTGTTGATTATTGGCCTCAAATATTTCCTGCAGTAAGGGCTTTTGGACCTGATGATTTGTCCTCTAAGTCTGCCCTTATTGTGAAGACAGAGTGATGGTGGAGAAAGCATTATATCCATGTTGTTAGACTTGGCCTTCATTCAGAGCATCACTGGTAAGGATCCTGCCTGCCTCATTGCTTAACCTTGTCCATGCGTTTTAAGAAGTTCAGAGAAGCTATTTCAGAAAGTGATGTCAGCGGTAGGGTAAGTCTTAAAGACATAAATGCACATAGTGTTCAAGTAGTCCCTTCATGGCAGGGTGCCTCAGAGAAG